CGAGATGGGCCAGCTGCTCAGCAGGATCAGAATAAATAGAAAGGTGATACATTTGTAGGTCTATTAGGCATCAACTGCTCCCAGCTGACGTATACTGTATGTAGTACTAGCTAGCCAGTGATGCTGATGACCGTTGGAGCTTAGTGCATATCATTCTGGGGATGTTTCAATGTTTCTTTCCAGGGAAGTCGGTCAGATGAGTCAGCAGTCATCACACCCACGCAGTCAAAGTCAACAGACCAGACATACTTCGGTTGCTGCTGCAGCCCAAGTACAATTTTTAGCAAACGCGTGAAAGATTTCAAGGATTCTGTCATGCATTTCAGAGCGAATGTTGAAAGTATTCAAGTATGCCGTCGAAGAATGGGTTTTTCTTGCTTTACTTGGTCTAATAATGGCTATATTTTCACTTGGAATGGACGTGGCGATTAGTAAGCTGCAAGAGGGTAAGGGCATTTCCGGATTATCCATATTTTCTATCTGTAATCCTAGCATCGTCCATCATACTACATTACCGTTCTTTAGCCCTTTGTGGCGGCTGACGTAATGTGGTTCCAGTCGCCGTTGTACGCTATTACCATAATCCCTGCTGTTGCTTGGGCACCAGTGGTCATTCAGCATGAATCAAAATTTTGCAATGTTTTTTCATATCATCACCAGGGCACACCATGGAGATGTGGGAAATGTCTACTGAAGGGAAATGTCTACTGAATGCGAGCTCTCCATACATTTTTCGCTTCTATGCGACACCCATCACCCACACGCCAAAAACTGTCACCCAGCGGCGGAGGAGGGAGAGCTCCGATGAAGTCACAAGTGGAAAAAACTGAAACGCGAACTATCGGATAAGGAGGAAAGTATCAAGGACAGAGTACATGAACTTGGTTCAAATGCATAAGGCACGATAATTTGGTACTCGGTTTGGTAGCAGGCGAGAGTTATATGCGGGGGAGAAAACGGCGAAAAAAGCTATCCCTCTGTTCTACATGACTCGGGAAGCAATTTCAGACGAGTTTCTCGTTGGCATCGTGCCAACCACCACTACGGTAGATACGGCTGCATGTATGTACTCATATATCTATGCAGCACCGCAGCCGCTTCATATCAATCCCTTCGCTTCATATTGTACTTCGCAAATGAAGCGATACGAGCATCAGCATCGGTCGGACATTTGTGGGCGGGCGGGCGCGGTGGGCGTCTGGGTCTGTATGTTACAGCTTGATGGGATAAGGGTACCTTCTCTGGAAAAGGCATCAAACAGCGCCCCTTGCCTTTGGATAAGAAAATTCTTATGATTAGTCGAAAAAATTCTCAAGGCCGACGATCAGACCAAAAGAACCCCTGCGCTGAATTCGCATGGTTACGTGCCCTAACTGTGCAAGGTAATTTTTAAGCCCTGATCGAAGTCGTAGAGGAGTGTTAGCTTGTATAGCTGGGCTTTGCAGGTCATATGATGGTCTATCGTCACTTTCGGAGCGATCCCTTTTGGATCGTGTCTTTCTTCGTTTGGACGATGTACGTCGTCATTCTCATTTGTGCATCAGCTCTTTGTGCACATTATATAGCTCCTCAAGCCATAGGTAAGTAGCACAGCTTTCAATAAAATCAGTAGTATTGACAGTAGTTTTGTTGTAATTGCTTAAAAGCATAAGGCACGATAATTTGGTACTTGCTCAAAAATGGTAGCAGGAGTGCTATACAGTGGGAAAATGACGAAAAAGCGAAAGTCAAATGGCCAAAAACCTGCGAAAAACCTCTTTTCTGCGCAGCACTGGACGAGCATTTTTGGACGAGTTTTTTCGCTCGTTCATCGATGTGACCTTGCAGCCTTCCTAGATGGGCGGTTGTGGTGAACTTCTAGGTCGGCGTGTTGCACCTTGGGCACTATTACCGTCTCCTTGGCTGGGAAAGGCGCCATAGAGCGTCTGCTCAGGTGCACACTATTCTTTCATGAAAGGCGACACGATATTCTTTCATCGACTCTGTACGCCTTGCCCATTTATCGTACTACTTGGCTTCAAGACTGGAAGGCATTTGGTTATTTATCGTACT